TTAATGCCCTCTGTCTCTAAGGCAGCTATACCAAAAGCCCACCGGAACCCTTTTGGGTCCTTGCAATATCCTCTTCTAAGATAGTCTATGCCAAGGATACATGGAGCATCCGGGCCAGTCACAATGCGGTGCTTTTCCCACTCATTCCCAGTCAGACTCACTTCAGCCTCCAATACAGTCAACTGCTGAGATCCTCCTGTCACTCCACAAATATAGATGGGCTCTGGTCCTTTATAGCTCGATGGCATTATAGTACATTGTGCACCGGTGTCTACTAAAGCCTTATACTTCTGTGCGCGTGATGTGCCAGGCCATCGAATCCACACAGTCCAATAAACTCGATTGTCCCTTTCCTCCCCCTGGCTGGAGGCAGGGCCCCCCTAATCCTGGTCAGAATCTTCTTCGTTTCTGTGTTTGAAGGACTGTCTGCTGGAAGTTGGAGCAGCAAACTTTTCGGAGAATCCTTTTTTCCTGATTGTTTTCTTTTGCAACTCACGTACCCGTGCCTCTAGGGTCGCGGTAGATTTTCCATCCCATTTTCTCATGTCCTCTCCATGGTCTCGTAAGTAAAACCACAGGGTGGCACGGGGTGAGTACCCACCATATCGTCTTCCTTGTGTGGGTGAACGCCTACCCCTGACAGCTGAGACACTGCTTTGTACAGGTGCGGAGGAGAATAATCTCTCTTCAAGTTGGTGAAACTTTTCAGAAAGTGTTTTCTCCCAGGTGTTCTCTTTTGGTCGGTGGACACTGGTTGGTTCAGGTGGGGAGGAAGATAGATTCTCTTTAAGTTGGTGGACCTCTTCAGAAAGTTTCTCCACAGCTGAGACGCAGGCCTGTAAGGAAGAGGAGAGACTTTCTTCGTACTGCCGGAGTTGTTTAGCCGCTTCATCTACTGTGGGTTCCTCATCCTCTTTCCAGGCCATTATTGCCAATGAGCTGGCATATGATGATGGTGCACTCCGTACAAACTTCCGCCACATGGGTCGTGTACACTTGACTTCATCTGGATCTTTGGATGTTTGTCTCTGGTCTGGATCCTCATAAATCACTTCCCGTACGGCTAATTCCCTCAGGTACTGGATTCCCTTCTCCATAGTGGTCCACTTGCCTGGTAGACATAAAAGTTCTTCCTTGAAGGGATACCTTTCCCTCACAGCTGAGAGAAGACGCCTCCAGAGGCTGGTGGATTGTGCTCCATCTGCAATTGCTTTGTCAATGCCGGCGTCTCGAGCAAGGGATCCCAGCCGCTTGGCTTCCCTGCCGTCTAATTCCACACAATTGGCTCCAGAGTCCCAGCACCGGAGCAGCCAGGTGACAAGCTGCTCACCTATACAGCGACCAAAATCTTTTCGCACATCTCGTAGCTCGCGCTCGTTTAGGCTTCGGGTAGTTACTGTTGCTTTTTCGGCATCCTCATCTTCCTCCTCCTGAATCCTTGATGGCCCAGCGTCGTCGTCATCTTCGTCATCTCTATACCTAGTTTTGGCAGAAGCCTTACCTGGGTTGGCAGAAGACTCTCTGCGTTCTAAACGACCTGAATCTCTATACCATTTTTTCACCTTCTCTACAGGGGCAGCTTGCACTGCTACTGCTCGTTTCTCTGACTTTGTTACAGAGTCTGCTACAGGGGTTGGAATACCCTCTGCAGGGGCAGCTTGCACTGCTACTGCTCGTTTCTCTGACACGGCCACAGGAGCTGGAGTGGCTGCAGGAGCTGAAGCAGTTGCAGGAACTGGAGCTGTAGCGGCTACAGGAGCTGGAGCTGGAGCTGGAGCAGTTGCAGGAGCTGGGACTGGAGCAGCAGTAGGAGCTGGAGCTGGAGCGGCTTCAGGAGCTGGAGCTGGAGCGGCTTCAGGAGCTGGGGCTGGAGCGGCTGCAGGAGCTGGAGCTGGAGCGGCTGCAGGAGCTGGAGCTGGAGCGGCTTCAGGAGCTGGAGCTGGAGCGGCTGCAGGAGCTGGGACTGGAGTGGCTGCAGGAGCTGGAACTGGAGCGGCTGCAGGAGCTGGGACTGGAGCAGCTGCAGGAGCTGGGACTGGAGCAGCTGCAGGAGCTGGAGCTGGAGCGGCTGCAGGAGCTGGGACTGGAGTGGCTGCAGGAGCTGGGACTGGAGTGGCTGCAGGAGCTGGGACTGGAGCGGCTGCAGGAGCTGGGACTGGAGCGGCTGCAGGAGCTGGGACTGGAGCAGCTGCAGGAGCTGGAGCTGGAGCTGGAGCAGCTGCAGGAACCGGATCTGGAGCGGCTGCAGGAGCTGGGGCTGGAGCAGCTGCAGAATCCACCGTAGGGGTCACAGTGGCCGTTGGATCTGTCACAGGGCTTGGAGTGGCCGCAGGGTCTGTCACTAAGTTGATAGCAGTATCAATGGCAGCTCGATAGGCATGAGCCAGGCCCCAGCACGTTACAATGATTTGTGTTACTTTGGAACTGCCAGAATCATGACACCTTTTTTTCAAGCATTCTGCCAGTTTTTGAGGATTTTGCCATTGTTCAGGGGTGAATTTCCAACACACTGGGGGTGCCAACTGCTCTAGATGCCTGCCCATATCCGCCCATACTCCCTGCCACCCACAACTATCCTGCCTCCGGGCAGATCTCCAGATGAGCTCCCCAAGTAGTTGTTTAACTTTAAGCAGAATCTGAAGTGCATTCATGAGGCAGAACAACAAGACTATGGTACTCTGAGTATTCCAGAAATATTCAATATCTTGGAGAGCTATTTTGACAAGCTCAGGGGATAAGAGAGTGGTGAAGGAGGAAGGCAGAGTGATCCAGGAGGATACAGGGGGGGTGAAGGAGAAAGGGAGAGTAAGCAAGTAAGGAAAAATATCCTCCCCTTTCCCCTCCACAGATTGACTCCCTAATGAAAAAAAAACAATAGGTATAATTGCTAATAGTTTCCAAGATACAGTTTCCAAAGTACAGAGTCGACGATGTTACTGAATACAAATAACAAGTTAGAGTCATGACCACATATTTCATCGTCTCATAAGCCATTGCTACAACACACAGCACCATAATGATCTGAAACCAGGGCCCGGAGAGGATAAACAACACGACAGAGAGCAAATACGGAAAATAATGTACTATAATACTCAATTTGGAAAACAGGCGCAGCAGAGTTGAGATTAAAGCAATCAGCATTATGACAAGTGACTATTAAGCAGGTCTAATCCTTACACCAATTTTAGTTTAACACACTCTGGTCAGATCTGCCGTTATCTCAACCTTTCGGGCCCCACGTTGGGCGCCAAAAAGACTGTCGTGGTTTAACCCGGCCGGCAGCTAAACACCACGCAGCCGTTCGCTCACCCTCCCCCCTCCCTCTCTGGGACGGGGGAGAGAAATGGAAAGTGAAGCCCGTGAGTTGAGATAAAGACAGTTTAATAAGACAGGAAAATAATAATAACAAAATAATAATAACAATAATAACAATAATAATAATATGGTGATAATAGGGAAATAATAATAATATGTACAAACAAGTGATGCACAATGCAATTGCTCACCACTCGCTGACCGATGCCCAGCCTAACCCCGAGCAGTCCGGCCCCCTTCCCCCGGCTAGCCACCCCTATATATTGTTTAGCATGACGTCAGATGGTATGGAATACCCCTTTGGCTAGTTTGGGTCACCTGTCCGGGGTCTGTCCCCTCCCAGCTCTTACTGCACCCCCAGCCTGCCCATTGGCAGGACAGAGCAAAAGGCTGAGATGTCCTTGGCTTAGTATAAGCACTGCTCTGCAACAATTAAAGCATCGGGGTGTTATCAGCACTCTTCTCATCCTAAGCCAAAACACAGCATTCCACCAGCTACTAGGAAGAAAATTAATTCTGTGCTAACTGAAACCAGGACAGTGTTAAAGAGAACAAAATATCTGAAGGCCCATCCTGAGGCCCATCTGTCCCATCTGCCTATCCTTTCCTCTCTTGCCTAGCAGGTCCCAGCTCTTTCCCAGTTCCTTGTCAAAGCCATTTCCCCTTTGTACACATGCTGATTCCTTCTGTGTATCTGGATACAGCCAGTCCCTGTCTCCTGTCCTCCCTCAGTGCTTTCTTTTGGTCACTGTCACCTCCGTTCTCCTCCACACATCAGGAAGTGACTGAAGGAGATGCTGCTAGTTGCCTTCTCCCCACTTCAGTCTTTTTCTTCATTTCCTGACTCCCAGCCCCAGAGATATTTCCCTGTTCACCATTAAACACCATCCACAGCCCCGTTTTCCCAGCCTGGTTCTTGTCTTGGCTGTGGCCATCCATCCACCTGTCAAATCGTTATATTTCCAATTTAGGGATCAGGATGTCATTTGGGACCGTGTCAAAAGCTTTACAGAAGTCCAGGTAGATGACATCAATCAGTCTTCCCTTGTCAACTGATGCAGTCAGTCCACCACAGGAAGCCACCATTTTGCCTACTTCTGAGTTGTAGAGTAAATCCATTGATTTGCAAGACCCTGTTCAGTACTGTTTAAAGCAGTACTTAACTTACAGATGCTTTTTCTTCTGGTTGTGCATGTGTAAAATAGAAACAGCACTTTCACAAAGGTCCTTGTCACATTTGTATTGAAATATATGGACCACTTTTCATGAATTTTGGATTTCAGTCAAATTTTCAGTCTATAAGTTCATTCTATAAAAACAAGACAGTGATCTAGAAGTGTTTCTCCTTTATTTGTGTACAATGCTTAACATGGACAAGAGTTAGTGCATACAAGATACTTTTCCTGTTTAAGGTTTCCCATGCATGTTGGGGAAATGGCACTTCTGTTTATGCACTTTTTTTTTTTCATTTTTTTCCCCCATTATTTATTTATTTATTTATTTATTTATTTCCTTCAGGCTATATCTCTGTTTCGGAGTTTATTTGAATTAAGGCTTCAGATGGGGTTGTATGAAACAAATCGTGTGAGCAATATTTTAAAATAGACTGGAATTAGGTTCTTTATCTCAAATGACTCACTGGACTTCACATACTGTTGTGATTGCTAATGTCTAACATTTGTATGAAAAAAAAAAAACAACAACTGAAAGAGTGAAGCTAATAAAGTTGTGAATGATTTTTTTCTCCCTGATCTCCTTAATCCACCCTTTACACTTAACCCATCATTGCAGGAAGTAGACTTTCAACTCACCAGAAACCATTAAAAATGAGCACTATTATTATTGTCATGTTGAATGGGTAGATTTCTATAATAAGAGATTAATTCCATATTCAGAATGGAAACTCCATTACAGTGAGTACAAGACTGAATAGAGTTTATAATAAGTAAGTAAAACATTATACATTATGGTTGTACGCCCATTTCTGCACTCAGTATCCTTCTGGCTGGCTGGACTTCCCTATAAATACATCTCCTTTCTTCCTCTTCCAGTGTCTGCACATATATTTGCTTTGCAGTTATGGGAACAGATATCTCAGCTGCATTGTCTATTCTACAACCGTGGCTGTGACAGAAAAAAATCCTTCTTCTTTATCTCCTGTCTGGCATATTGTTATATCATTATAATAATAATAATTATTATTATTATTACTACTATTAATAGAGTTAATATCATGGTAGAAGCAAGGATTTTTAATCACAGACCTATATATTGATCTTGCCCAAAGGGATAGGGAAAGAGACAAAAGACAAAATAATGTAAAAAAGAAGGTTATGGTGGAATGGGATGTTATGCTGTTTAATATTTTTGATTCATAAAAATACAAGTATGTATCTAAGGATTTGTCTCAGATGAAAAGTATTCCAAAATAATAGAGTGTCAATGCTCATCAGTGATATTTTCATATACAGAAAATAAAAAGAATCCTTGCCTACTTTATGAGTGGTTGTGTAACATTTTACTGGATCCAAAAAATTGTCAGAGTTTGAGAATGATACCACATTGTTTTGCTTTTTATTACAACTCATATACACTTCCTTTGTGGTACAGTGTCTTATACAATATTTATGCACCATATACATTTGAAATGAACAAACAATTATTCAAATTTTCTATCTGCTACATTGAAAATACAAACCATTTAAAATACTGTTAAAAATAATGGGAGCTGTTCTATCATTGCAGTTGTCATCTGGAGATTAAGCTCATATTTGCTCTGTAATACACATTATAATATTTTGCATAGTGTTACTGGTGGTATAATAGTTGTCATCATAGATACAATGTAGTAAATTTTTCAATGTATAGTGTTCTGTAAAGAAACCAGACTTCTGATACATTGTCAAAGAGCTTTTCTTTCCAGTCACTAGTAATTAATGAAACAGGTTAGATCATTTTGTATAAAATTCTGGTATCACATGTTATACATTTGGATGAGTAACACAGAAAAGGAAAAGCAAACTCATGGCAAATAATCAGTGAAGTGATTGACTTTAATAAATAATTAACTTAGTCTGTGAATACTAGATCAGTGCAATTCATGTTCACTTTTAATGCCATTTGAAATAAGTTGAATTATCAAAATGAAGATGGAACTGAAAATCATTATTTTATACTAATTTTGGCTGGAAACATGTTGAAATCTTCTCTTTGAGAGATACCCAGTTCAAAAAAAAAACACAGGGGAAAAACTGTGAAAAAACTTCTGAGGCCTTTTGTCTGAAATATTTCCCAGCAAAGACGTAAATTATAGGGTTAATGCAACTGTTGGTGATAGCCAGAGTAGAACTAAACTGCTCGCCAAAGTTGAGCAGTTCTTCCCAGAAACAGCCTTTGACCACTTCCATCTGGAATAATACATCAAGGAACGTAAAAAGATGGAATGGAGTCCAGCACAAAAGAAACATCAGCACCACTAAGAAGATCAGCCTGGTGGCCTTCGTGTCTTTGTGGTTCTTGCAATATTGTGTCCTGAGTGCTCTTCGTTCCCTTGTGTGTTCTTGTAGGGAGCGAATGGTAGAGAAATTGAAGAAGACGATTGCTATAGATGGCAATGCAAACCCCACTGTGCTGAATACCAGGCGCTCGGCTGTTGCCCACAATGGGTCGGGGAAGTCTAAAATGCATGCTGAGATATTCCACTGGGGAAAGTGTTTTACAGTCCGAAATGTAAAGATTGGGATGCTTACAAGGATCCCAAAGAACCAGGTAAGCAAGCAGATCCCTTTGGCCATGGTTTTGCTCCGTATCCTTCCGTGTGTCAAGGTATGAACAAAAGTCAAATAGCGATCCATGCTGACTGCCACTAGCAAGTAAATGCTGGTATACATGTTTAGGCGAACGGATGCACTAGTGCTACGACAAAAGAAATTGCCAAATGGCCAGTTAAACTTGTTTCTGACATTCTCTGCCCAGAAAGGGAGGCATGTGAGGAAGATAAAGTCAGCAACAGCTAGGTTCATAAGGTAGATTTCAGCTGTCTTCAGGGGGTCCTTGCACAGTGAGTAAACGATGAGAACGAGCAAATTTCCAAGCATTCCAATAACACAGATGGCGTTGATGTACTTGGGTACTAAGTAGTAAACGATTTCCCACCAGTCATTCAAGTCTGGGCAGCTCGTTAAGTTGCTCTTGTTTTCACTCTGGTTTGAGAAGGAAACGTTCAGTAGAGGACTTTCAGCCATTTTTCAAAATTCTGAAATGAACAGAAGAACATCTTTAAAGCAAGAGAAAAGGACTACAAAAAAGAGCCATAACATTCTAAAAGTTGTCTCCTATTGATTGTGTAACAGACATTTAACTGCTGGAAATTCTTTATTAGTGCTTATTGATTGTATAGGCTAGATCAATCCGTGATTCTTGTGGGCAATGGTGAGAAATATTCACAAATTGATAACAATGGAAATTCCTCTACATCCCGTGAAAGTTCCTCTCTTTGTTGCCTCTGTTCAAGGTTGCAGAGAGGAAGGCATGTATCAGTTTAGTGTAAGTAACTCTATGTCTACATCAGGCTGGTGAAAGCAACAGAAATAGCAGAAGTCCAGCTCCCTGAGAGTAGGGGCAGTCATGCTGGTGACATGATGCAAAGCTCGCAACTTGTCCTGCCCTTTCTCATACTCTTGTGTGCTATGTATAACTTTAGCAGGATGGTGCCAGTTTTGCCATGTCTGGGACTGCTAATCACTGTCTATGTGTGTAACTTGTTTGGTTAAAATTGCATTCTCTTCTTCTCTGTCAGTTCCTCCATCCCAGACTTTGGGATTAAAATTACTGCTAGATTAGACATTTTTTTTTTGCCCTCAAATGTCAGCAGTTGTAATAATAAAACACTGACTTCTCCTACACCATGTGCTCAAAATCCTACCTGGAGGGAATGCCTCTGCAGCTCCAAATTCAGTGTGCTTCTCCTGTCTAAACAGAGGCAGCTCCAGTTCTAAAAATTCCACCTGAATTCAGCTGGAGAGAGACAGCCCCAGACACCAAAGCATTTAGTATTTCATAGCATTGGAAATACATCTGCTTCTTTGTGGTAATGGTAACTCAGCGTGAGATTGCGCAGGAATGAGAGCATGGATAAAACATTATACCCCTGTGAAGCTCCACCAAATTACCAGCGCTGCCTCCTACAGAGACTTTATTCTCCCAGTGTTGTCATGCACGACCATATTACCTGGATCTTGTCTATTACAGGCATTGACTCTTAGAATTGTTTCAGTAGGTAAGAGATTACTGAGTCTGTGGCGACATCTTACATTTCTGTATTTCATATGCAAGGCAAGTGTGTCAGTCATAAAAAAAGAACCATTAAAAAAAAAAAAAAAACCACAATATTTTGCAATCAGTTGCCCTGAATGTTAACTTCCTCTTACAGCTATTTGTCTGCTCTTTCAGTTTTTACACCAAAGAGATAGCTAAGGATAGAGCTTCTGAAAAGAGCATTTAAGGTCAGGGTTTGTCTCTTACATGTATGTACAGCCTCAGTGATGTCTGTCTGAGCAGTTTGCAGTACATATCTCTGTGGTGGAGAAAGGAATTAAAAGAGTACTAATATTCCACTTCATATGAATCAGTACCTAACGCACAGACCATCTTTCATTACTGTAGAATTAAGCGCACAGTCAAGTTTTATTTGAGTTCATAACCATGCTCAAGCTGGCAGGCTTGTCAGGGGGCTGGGCTGCAATTCAAACTAGCACAGCTCCATGGCTTTACACACCTTCCCTCACAGCAGTCAGAGTTCACTGAGTTCACCAACCATCTTGTGCAATCTAAGATAACTTGTGAGGATCTATAACTGCAAAGAGGGTGCACAGAGTAAATGAATGAATAATCAGCATCAAGGAAGCAGAAGTCTAACCTTTGTCATAGCAGGAGACTGATTACGGTGGGAGAGTAATGGAAGAAAATCTGTAGCATTGTATATCAAAAATACATGTCAAGAGCAATGTAGAAAGACACCAGTTAAACATTTCCTTTTGTAAATTGAATTATTACTATTACTAAATATAGAGGAGAAAGACATGCTTGTTTTCCTTGCTTGCTCATTTCCTGATATTTTCTTGCTATCAGTCAGTTTGTCAGCCAGGTTGTGCACTTCATATGGCACATGTGGGCTAGAGCCCCAAATTCATCCATCGTGGGCTAAATTAAAAACTTTGGGAATATTTGCTTGTCATTGCAACTGAGATTTTAGCCACAGCTAGATCTGACTTGTTCAAGTAGCAATTGTGCATGAAGTTTCTGTAGAGCTTGTGTTACTGGGATAAATTTCTTCAAAGTCTACTAGCTAGAGCCCTAGTGCTGCCACAAGCCACATGAACTTATAGCTCCAGATTTATTCTTGAGAGAAAATGCAATTCATTTGCAATTGCTTAATTAATTTCTTCTTCAAAGGCAATTTTATTTTGTGTTTTGAAGTATTTAAAGCTGATTTAAAGCTGATTGACAAGTAGCCACAAGAATGGTTTTCAGTTTATAGCCTTAACGCATTCCAGTATTCCTGCTTTTATGCAAATAATGACATATTTTTTTTTCTACTTTGAACTAATTTCAGATTAGTTTCCATGTACTTTGACTATATTACCACTATTACTATTAATAAATAATTCCTAGTTAGGATCATGTCTTCTGGAAACCTTTGAGATCTGGAAACAATTTTAAAAGCAAAGATAACTTTGAAAGAGAAAATTCTGCAATTCAGATAAGTATATTCAGCTATACAGAGATTCAAGGATTGAAACAACATATTTTTACAGATTAGGAGGACCTTCAAAGTTAGCTGCACAATGAAAGAGAAAGGGGATCTTTCACTAGACATAGCAGAGCCAAGAGCACAAAAGAATATATATTTTTTTTAATAGAAAAGCATTTGAAAAACTTTTAGTAAAGAAAAAACATTAAAAACAGATAGAAATACCTTGTCCTTGTGTTTCTTGGAAGTGTAGGTGAAGCTTCAAATTCAGGAAAAGTTGGCAAATAGCAGTACAGTGATTACCGAGAGAATTCAAAGATAAATCCTGAGGCAGGACTGAGTACTGTCGTGCTGTCTGAGTGTTTTGTTGGCCAAGCATGTTGTGTATGATAAAATTTGGCAGAAAGCCTTAGGATTTTTTTTTTTTTTTCCTAAATGTCAGCTGAAGTAATTTTCGAGGCATGTTAGATATTTCATTCTTGCAAAACTATATAAGCCATATGCCTTGGATTTTGTGTTCATGTAACCATAAATGAAAGTTTTACCGACCTGTAGGCTGGTGGCAGTTAAAAGTTCCTTTGTGTGATTAACTATGTCTGCAACAATAGCAATTTTATCAACAGCTCCAAACCACCCTCTCAGTGCCAACACAAACAAAGCCAAACTTTTCACTAAGTTTTCATTGTGGTGGGAGCTCCTTCCTTGGCCAGCCCCAGGGAGGGAAAGTGGCACTGCATACGTGATGGGTTGTGCCAAGGAGCTGGGGCTTTTTCTTTGGGAAAGGATGCTGAAACTTGGAGCCACTAAATCTTTCCTCTGTTTTTGAAAACTGGTGTCCTTTGCACTCCACTATTGCTGATTATCACATGAGTTTCTGTGAATGTTACTTTTCAGGAGTGCATGATGATGGCTATATTTTATCAGGCATGTACCCATATAGAATGTGCATTTTGTGTGATCGCCTCAGTCTTTGTAGCCTGAGACTAATTGTTTATAAACTTATTTTTATGCTTTTCATTTTAATTGTCCTCTGATTAGAGCAATATTAAAAATAATGAAAAAACAACAAGAAAAAAAGAAGATATATATTGGTATATCAGTGTATCAGATTTTTAAATACAAAATCTCTCTTAAGTACATATGTGTAAAAAATAGGTATTTTCAGCTTCTTTTTAAAGAGCTGTGAGAAATTATGAGGGCACTGGAGTGTTAATTACTTATATGAAAGCATTCTTCCCATTGGCTATCTACCTAACAAATGCACCATCTCTCTGAATTCTTTCTCTTTGTGTCTTTGTGTCCTTTCTTGTTTGATGAGTTAAAATGAAAGACTGTGAAGGCTGAGCTATGATATCTTATGAACTTCCCTGTCGTCATAAAAAATACTTTGATGCCAACTCTCTTTTTATTCATTAAGAATATACAATGTTAGGGTAAAATTGACAGAATCTTGAGAAATTGTTCTGATTGAAAACCATAACAATGAAGGAAATTCTAAAATAAATAAATAAATAAAAACATAAAAAAAATAATTTGAAGATTTAAAGGATATAAATATTTTATTTAAATAGCATCTTATTTCAACATGTATTTATTTTACTAAATAAATGAAGCAGTATAAAAATATATCTCAAATGAAGCTATATGCTTCACTTCTGTCAAAATATTTTTTTTAGGCATCTTGATTAAAACTTTTGTTTTGGTGAAGACCTGAAACACATTTTTATTTTTTTATTTTTTTTAATTACTTGGCCTAAGGAGCCCTAATAACCAACAGGAGATCAGTCTTTAAACATTGCAACCCATTCTGACTCAGTAAGGTAAGTGCAATAGAAGAGGAGATCTTCGTCACAGACTTTCCATAATTTCTTCTTTGCTTACACTAGTGGATTTTTGTTTAGATTATTTTTTTTCATAAAGAAGAACATTTGAGCAATAACAAGAAGTCTGGAATTGAGCCTTGCTTGGACTTAACTCTATAAAAGCAGCCAACATTCACATTTTCTCATAGACTGAATAGCAGCTGCATCTAAAATCTAAATGATAAAAAACATTGTCTTACTAAACTCATCATTTCAAAATGGGATCAAAGCATTATACATTTGGTGGAAATTGTGAAATGAATAGGCTCTACTACAGCTCTCAGTTCTGAAACATCTTAGAAAAAGTCCATATAAGTGGTATCTTTACAAAAAGAGTGGATTTAATTTTTTATTTCTTTGTGACTTGTGTCTTCATTTCAACCTGTGAAAAGCATATAATGGTTTTGTAACATTTTACACTTTACACGGAAGTAGTGGACTGCAAGTGAAAGAAACATGAAGGATCTGTTTCTGTATACAGAATTAAAAATTAAATAAAAATGAATTTGTATACATAATTAAAACATATTCATCTATTGTTGCCTTCAACTTGTGATACTCAGGGTGCATTAGTTTATGTTTTAAGCTTATACGATCTTCAGCCATCCCATTTGTGTTGACTTCCCTACAAAAAATCCCTAATTGGGCCTCTCTGATCAGAACGATTAAACAAATATGTTGATGAAGGCAGAGGTAAGACTGGTTGCTCAGTTAGTACACACATTACAGAGTAGAGAAGTGGCAGAAATACAAAAGGTCTCCAGGGTTCTGGCTCTTGGTTCAACAATTCAGCCATTAAAATCCTCTTCCTTATAGCACAATTGGAGCCTTTAATTATCTGAACAGATTATCTTTTCTGGGACAATTTGGTTTAGCACTTTGATTTTCTTTATGGAAGTGGCTTGTGTATCAATATAGTCATCTTCTATGAATGAACATTTATTCTGGAACAGAAGAGAAGTTCTGTGATGTGACCTTGTGATCTTGGTTTAGTTTGACTAGATTTATTTATGTGTACTACAGACAGTGGTTTGTAGCCACTTAAACTAATGGCACGGTGATTTACAATTACTAATAAACTGATCCTGCCAATATCACGTAACAGTTATAATCAAGCCCTACTACGGGCTGAAACAGCAAAATATGGAAGGTACAAGTAAAATCTGGGAACCTACAATGTACTGACAAAGGAACAGAAGGAAAGGATGATCTGATGGCTAACACAAACAGCTAAAGAATATGGGAGAGCTGAACTAAGTTCCTGACTTCTCAACAAAGTGCCTCCTTAACAGCAAATCTGTCCTACCCACAACAAGCATCAGCTGCTTGTGCCAACTCTTTTTAAGGCTGTTAATTATTCTTTTCAGGTGAAGTCAATAATCCACTTGAAAAGGTCAATAAAAAGATGATAATTATTCTTGCCCATACCTGGGATGAAGCAGTGCTGGACCTAGGTCCAGGCTGGGGATGAGTGGCTGGGGAGCAGCTTGGCAAAAAGGGGCCAGGGACTGCAGTGATCCTGGCACGAGCCAGCGGTGTGCCCTGGCAGCTGAGGGAGCAACCTGCATTTTGGGGGGTGTTAAGCCCAGTGTAGCCAACTGCTCCAAGGAGGTGATTCTCCTGCTATACTTAGCACTGGTGTGGCATTACTTTGTATGTTGTGTGTGGTTCTAGGCTCTGCAATATGAAAAGGATATTATGGTCCTTGAGAGTGTTGTTGCTCCCTGCAGATCCACGAGGAGGGGAAGCACAGAGGGAGGCACCGCTCTCTGCTCCCAGCACACAGTGTGGTAGGGAATGGCACAGAGCTGTGCCATGGGAGGGTCAGACATGCCTTGACCGTGAGCGTGGTCAGACAGTGGGACAGGCTTCCTAGGGAGGTTGTTGGTGCCCTGTGCCTGCCAGTGCTCAAGAGGCATTTGGACAGTGCCCTCAGTAATGTGCTTGAACTTTTGGTTAGCCCTGCAGTGGTCAGGCAGCTGGACCAGATGATCTTTGAAGGTCCCTTCCCCAGCTGAACAATTCCATCCCGGAAACGTCAATGGGGTGTTGAGGTAGCTGCTGTTCCTCTGGCAATGGTCCCCAGCCACCTCTATCAGACTGAACGTAGAGTTTTCTGTTTGCATGACTGAAGTCTAAATGAAAGAAGAGTTGGCAGCCTCAGGTAAGAGGGAAGACAGACAGTGGGAGGCGGGCAGGGTAAAGAAGAGTAAAAAGTGCAGTAGTAACAATTTGATATTCCCAGCTCTGAGGTCCTGAGGATAAAGTCTGCCCTTGTTTTCCCAGGAACGTGCCTCACATTTTCCCTGGTTTCTGTGAGAATGGGACAGAGCAAAGTGTGCAAGTGTGACCATAAACTGCCAGTAGGTAAGATGTAGCTTGGACATTACATTGGACGTTCATTTCTAGGGTGTTTTTATTTCTTTTTTGGTTATCTGCATAAATGATAGATGCCAATGCTACACAGTGTGTCATCACTCTAGAAAGTGGCAACCTGGAAATCAACATTATGCATTCTACAATCTGCAGAGCCTGGTGTAAGGAATTTTCTTTGCTGCTAATATCAGTTTGCTTTGATAGCAGAGCAAAGGTTTTAGGCAGAAGGCCCACCCTACAGACAGCTATGGAGGGCACCTGTAGGTTCTTGTGTACCCCAGGTCCTCACAAAGAAAAGGAGTATCTGCTGTTTCATGGGAGCTTAGGCTACCAGAGTGCTAGTGAAATTATTTCAATGTTCTTAGCTGCCTTAATACAGATTTTAACTTCCACGTGTATCGAAGGTATTCAGCACCATGCAGACATGGGCCCTGAATAGAAAGCTGACCCCAAACTTTGCAAGTAACTAAAATTCTTTTGTTTTAACTCACTTTCTGTTGGTACAACAGGAAGTGAAGGAAAGTGTCTGTAACAGTTGCGCTTCTCAGAAGTCTTTCCTGAATAAAAGGACTCAGGCTAGAAAACAAAATGCCAGCAAATTTAATATCTTAAAGTCATTTATTTTCTGTTGTACATACTTTCTGAACAGCAAAACAACACACGTATGTATTTACATATTTTAATTTAATATCTTATTGACAAGTCATAACATTTTCATATTTTACTCATACTTCTCAGTACCACATATCCAAAATTCTCTTTCATTGCCCCAATAACCTCTGAATGGAGTTCCTTTCATTTAAAGGTTGTGTGAACAATATGCTCATGAACAAGACAATGTTGATAATACTGGAAATAACAGAAAGGCTTGAAGTGTTTCATCATAGATGTCTAGGACAATATATAGAACAAACTATAAAAGTACTTATGATATAGGATTATACTGGATGATTAAATAAAACATAGAAATTTTCAATAAATCATCTACATACAACAGTTTTAATAGTGCATCCACAAGCTTCTAGAGCATTTCTTTGGTTTAATTATTTGAAGATTTAATACAGACTTTCCAGCTTGAATGGAACTTTATTGCTCCATTCAAGCTCTGATGATTAAAGGCCATGTATTAATAGTCTGATCATCTCCAAGTTGGTTTTAGATCAAGGTTCCAATAAGTAAAATTGCATACTGACAATTACATACACAGAGTTTCTTCCATGTGAAGTCCTTTGATTTTTTTTTTTTTTTTGTTTTAATTCAGTCTAATTTAGGAATTGATATTTTGTATTAAAATCACTCATATTAACTCTACAAATAAAATTTAGGTAGTATTAGAGTCTGAAAATACCATTTTTGATTACTCTGAATATTCAAAACTCCTATTAGCTTCAGTTAGATTTCTAAGGCAGTAAGGTGATGCTCTCCTCCATATTTTGTTTCTTCTTGTGAGATTATACCAGTTGTACTGTGCATTTATACTTCCATTAAATAACATTATGAATATTAATTATGTTTTGGTGAACATTAAAAAACTAGTATCTGAGCTGACATATAGGTATGAATGAAGATAGCATTCACCCACCCCAGAAGAGCTCTCCATAGTGAACAATTTTACCTTGTGGAAGAAAGAGTAAAGAGTCTCCTGCTACAAAAAAGACCTCTACTGCCTTCATTAAGCTGGTTGAAGTTTTCCTCCCTTATCTGCATTACCTTTTCTGAGCTATGTTCCACGTGTACAGGCAGATGTAAATCTGCACCTAGCAGAGGCAGGGCAGTTGCAAAAAGGCACAGCTTGTCAATCAAGCAACCCATATTGCTTTGGAGCAGAGAAAGGAAGTCCAAAAGAGGGTCACACCTAAAAATCTATTTGAATAATAGTCCTACAGGATTCATTTAAATTTACATAAATATGATTCCCTTCTATAAAAACATGGTCTAACAAACTGTATGGGTACCATAAGTAGTTGCACAACTCTGACAATAGCTTCTGTACTGGGACTCTAATAAGACAACTGTATGTGCATTCAGACACTTAGATTCCATGGAAATATAAACATTTCAAATGGAACATGCAAGAAATAAAATTCAGCCATGAAAACCATAAATACATTACAAAGAATGATTCAACTGTGAAAAATGTCCATAACATTAGAAACAGTTCTCTGTATGAAGTTTGCATTAAGATCAAACCATTCGTTTCCCACAAATGATGAATGCTACCACGTGTTTATTCTGTAGACCTGCCCTCATTGTGAACAAATTGTGCTACCGTTGTAATGGCAAAACAGACTTTTTCCTTGGATATTCACTTGAAATGGAAGTTCTTAAAGTGTCCAAGGAGTTCACCTTCACAGGCTGTGACTTTCTGCACCTCTGTGGGAGCAAGTTTTTGTAGAATTCCACAGCCTTCTTCTGGAAGTGTTTCCCGACGATAACGTACAGGATCGGGTTCAAGCAGCTGTTGCTGTAGGCGCAGTAGGTAGCTATCTGAGTCAAAATGTCATTGATTTCTTCAAGGCATTTCAAAGTTTCTGCCAAGGAACAGATTGTATCGATGAATGTGCTGATCTGGAATGGGAGCCAGCAAATGACAAATAGCAAGAGCACAGCAAGGACCAGCATGGTGGCTCTCCTTTCTGTCTGGATTAACTTCATTTTTTGTAACTCGCTACTTCGTAAGGCCTTGATGATCTGGGTAGTGCAATAGGTAATTACACAGAGCGGGATCACAAAGCCCACAGCATTCAGCAGGAAGTTGTTTACAGGGTGCCAGTAGGTGGCTGGATAATCAAGACCGCAGGCTGTGATGTTGTATTCTTTGTAATACTGTAATTTTCGGAAGACCATTGTAGGTGAGCATAAGAACAATGCACACATCCAGACTACAAAGCTATTCCACTTGGCACAGACAGTTCGCCGCATCCGTCCTAGAGACATGGTTTTCACCAAGGCCAGATAGCGGTCGATGCTCACTAGTGTCAGAAAATAAATGCTAGAATAAAGGTTCATTTTGCTGACTGCGTTGACAGCTTTACAGAGGAACAGCCCAAAAGGCCACTGAAAATTATTAGAAATGTTGATGGCCCAGAAAGGCAAAGAACAGACTAGCAGTAGGTCGGCAAGTGCCATGTTTGCTAGGTAAATTTCAGCCACTGTGCAGTGACCCTTGTGGAAACACAGTACGATAAGGACAAAGGCATTTTCTATTGCTCCCAGAATAAATATAAACCAAAGAAATCCAGGCTGAAAAGTCTGTAGCCAGAGCCATGCATCTGAATTTATACATTGATATCCATTCAGCTGATGAACTTCAGAATCATTGTAGAAATCTGTTGGAATGATTGGGAGCTCCTTGGTGGTCATAAGCTTGTAAAGTTGTGTAACATTTTCAGTTGTGATGGTAACCATTTCTGTGCAGAGAGGGGAAAAAAAAAAAGGTGCAATGAGATCATTGCTGCAAAAGACACAGTAAGAAAAGCTGGCTTTGCTTTTACCACTGTCCTAAAAACGTGGTATTGAACAGGCTCACAATTCTCTGGCTTGTTTTTTTTATGCACACTGCATACTTGCAGAAGGTTTCAAAAAGCAAACTGCCATGGACTGTGCATTTGGATCAATCAAGGGGGTGAAACAGAAGGGATGAAGCAACAGTTGTCATTGTAACAAGCAGGTTAACTGAAGCTGGAAGAGAGCATTGGCTGGCCTTTATTCACTAGAGCCACTTTTTTTTTTTTTAATTTAATTTTTTATTTTTCCCTGTATCTTTTCCTTCCTTCCTTTCCTTCTTTCCTACCATGGTAGGTGGGTTGGCAGGTTCGCAAAGATGGTGGCCATCTGACTACAGTGAGCTAATTTGGGTGCAAGAGCACAGTCTGAAAAACAGGTGCTGTACTGTAAATATTCAGAACAGCCTAGGGTCTTACAGGGAGCCATTTAAGGGCCTAAATGTCAGGTATGTGCTTAAATGTCAGTACGATCAAACAGTAGTTAAGTGTCCGGGTTTCACTTAGCGACGTTAAAATGTTAACTGTGTTGCTGTGTTTCCGAGATGATTAATGCTCAAGTACAAGACTGGTTTCCCAGTATGTATGTATAGTTCCCTGGACTAGGTGACAGTAATACTGTTTTTCTTATCCCAGGTCTTAAAAATGCCACTGTTTATATTACAGTTTGGTTGGAACCTTTTCAGATGTACATGTATTTTTGACTAAAATATTTGTCTGATTCATCTGGTGAAATGACAGAGAAAAGGGGACACATTTGTAATTCCTGGAAGGATGAGGTTCTCATTTGTTTTCTAGTTACTGCATTTGTTGTTTGATAAATGTCAGTGCTGGATATGCACATAGATATTTGGCTGTTAGATGCAGAATTCCTGAGAAATGATGGCCATATTCTGTGTATTTGTTTTGAATTAAGTGCCACAGTGCTTGGGAACCAAAAACAAAGATCAAGATGGAATTTCACTACATACACTAGAGGCAACAACAAAGACTCTCTACCATAAAATTTAATAAAACTTATAGCACAGTTGTCAGGCAGTGCAGATCAACTGGATAGAACAGGCAAGTGGAACTGAGAACTTTGAAATACAGGGCAGGTCAGAAATAGATTAATAAGCGCAAACCAAAATGACAGCAATGCACATTTCCAGTCTTTCATAACTTGAGCAAAGGACAATATTTGCATAAACTGGACAGTAACATAAATATTCTCATCCTCCAAGTTTATCTTTCCAAAACCAAAACTTTTCAAGCCCATATCTAACCTCAGGAACACATCTCTATCCTCTAGCATGTATCCTGACTCTTCATTCATTTTGTCCTTACTAGAACCACCTCAGCCTTGAGACACCTATGTCCTTTACATTTCTGAATGTTTTCAACCAGCATCTGGAGAATCGGCTGGTGGACCCAGTTTATTATCTGTCATTACACATTGTAGACACCTGTCCAGTGACCTATGCTTTTGGTTACACTGATTATCTGGTCTTGAGGGTATGGATTTATTTGTTCTATATTGAAAGCAAACACGATATGCAGTGCATGTTATACAACATTGGAAATATTCTCATCTATGTCTGTTATTCATCTTCCATGTGCAAACAACTGTCACAGGTTGCAAATGTTTTGGTTAGAAATCTTATTTTTGTCTGAGCCCTTTCAGAAATCTGCATATACATTGCATTTTTTAATGTGATTTTATTTATTCATATTTCAGTACAATGGAATGTCGGAAAATGCCAAAAGACTTGCTGAAACCTAGATCTGGTGCTTCTGATCTATCCATTAGTCTGTATTGGATTGTTTTGACACAACCTTATTCTCAACATGCTTATATTGGCAGTTCCTTATCACTTTAAGTTTCTTTATTGTCCTCTATCTGTTGATATTCTGATTATTTATTTATTTATTAACCTATTTCCAGGAATTTAAAAGAGAATGACAGGTCTGTAAGTCCCTGGGTCCTGCACTCTGTGCCTTTTAATGACAGGTATTTTTTTATTTTACTCTCTCTGGTCTTCTGAAATGTCCCCATTCTCCTTGACCTCACAGACACAAGAATGAAGATTTCCTCTCCTAATTCTGGAAAACCAAAATGGTGGGTTATATAAAACCCTACCATTTTGAGAGCCTCCATATGATCTTTAATTTTTTTTTCTCAAATCACATTTATCAAATTGTTCAAATCAGTCATCTTAAATATCAGTTTACAATCTTTTCTGAGAAGATTAACACAGTAACTCAGCTAACACAGCTGTGATTAACACACGGGACTAACACAGCTACTGCAAACAGTAGCTTCAAGTCTCTCTTTCTGTGTCTCATAGAATCACAGAATCATAGAATATTCCGAACTGGAAGGGACCCACAATGATCATTAAGTCCAACTCCTGATTCCACACAGGACCACCCAAAACCCAGACCATATATTTGAGAGTTTTGTCCAAATGCTTCTTGAACTCTGTCAGGCTCGGTGCCATGACCACTGCCCTGGGGAGCCTGTCCCAGTGCCCGACCACCCTCTGGGTGCAGAACCTTTCCCTAACCCCCAGCCTGACCTTCCCCTGTCCCAGCTCCATGCCATTCCCTTGGGTCTTGTTGCTGTCCCCAGCGAGCAGAGCTCAGCGCCTGCCCCTCTGCTCCCCTCGTGAGGGAGCTGCAGGCCGCCATGAGGCCTCCCCTCAGCCTGCTCTGCTCTGGGCTGAAAAAACCAAGGGACCTCAGCCTCTCCTTGTATATCCTCCCCTCCAGACCCTTCACTATCTTTGTAGCTCCTTCTCCTGGCACTTCATGCTGTAAAAACACATAGGAAATTCTGATGGATGACCAACAGAAGGTCATCTGGGAACAGAAGATCTTGGGCATTGCTACTGGCAGAAGCTGTTGCTTCTGCTGGTAGCAGGCTGTGAACTGGTGGCAAGAATTAAGTGTAAGTGTATTATAAAAATGTTTTCAGGTTGGATATCCACATATATTTAATAAAACATTAATTAGTGATTCAAAGTCAAAAAGGCTATGATGTAGCTGGCAATTTCTATGCTGTCCATCATAGCCATGACAAATAGAAAAACAATAACCAGAAATTAATTCTACAGCAAATAACTGTTCAAAAATTGCCTATTGATTGATATTTTTCCTTTAATTCATCTCTTTTAGAGGACTGTGCTTTAGAAGGGAAAGCCCTAGAATTCTTTAAAATAAGTTACTTCTATCACATTACCATGGTCTAAGAACAGTGTGCAGGGACTATTCCCGTGCTGTGGGGCTCCTGGATGACCTGCATCCTTGGTCCTTACCTCAAGCACTTCTGTAAAACATTGGTAGAAATGTGGGTGTGAACAGTATAAAATGTACAAATGATCATTACATGCCCTATTTAAATGATTGCCTGGAGCTATTCTCTATAGCACAGGAAAGTAATTTAAACCACGTGCTTCCTGAATAAATTATGATTTACACAGCCACAATTTAGAAAAGAGATTTATGTCTATTTGCCATTATCTTATTATTGAAATTTAGTGAAAATAAATGTAATCCCTTCACACAGCCTCTATAAACACTTTCTGTGCAGTGCAAGGCAGTTTTAATATCTCAGCTGGGATCCTCAAAAAGATTTTATCCAATGATTTTGATATAAACACTGCCCAGCTGAAGCAACCCACTTATTACTGAGATTATGAAGGACTGCTGTAGTGGGTTGAACTTGTCTCTGTTGAAGTTCACCTCCTACAGCTAGTCAGCTGCCTGATAGTCACGTAAAAACATTGTCAGACATTGCTTCATGTTGTTCTAGAATATTTTTTTTTTCTTCTAATAGTACTGGGCATAAATGACAATATTTTGGTAGCAGGAGGCTGCAGGGTGCTCTGTGTTGCAGACAGCTATGTCCTGCCCTGTGCAGATGGCACCCAGCCCTGTGTAACCTTCAAACACTGACCTGAGCAACAGAGAAGGGTTTTGAGGTTGGCTGACACAATCATATGTTGGACAATGGGCTGATCCTGCCAGTGCTGCAGAAAATGTACCCTCATGGATGAGCTAGGAAAAAGGTGGTAATACACTGCAGTTGCTGTGCTGCTGGAGAGGGGAGAGGGGTCCCAAAAGGTGATGCTCTGAAGTGCCATGGTCTGAAAGCTCTGAGGACTGGGCACAGTCATTAATGCCTCTCGCCTGGAACCTGGTAGGATGTCCTACTGATCAAGGATGGACTTACATGTACCATCCTGGGGGGAGCATGTTAGAATAAAGGTGTGAGAAGAGCAGCAAGCCAAGGATAATGCCCAGAGTACAGAAGACTTGGAATAAGAATCAGGTGAGGATGGAAAGTCTTCATGCTACTGCTGTACGTGCTGGGCTCTATGGATGGTCCTTACTGAAAGAGGAGAAGCAGAATATGATAAAGCAAAACAAAAAGCCCTCAAAGGATCATGAGCCGTGAGCTAAAAACAAAAGCACAGGGGAAAAAAAGTCAGAGCTCAGTTAATGGTGTTACTGGATACGAATAGGCTTGAGGAAAGCTAAGCCATTTTACTCCCCAAATGGGGAAATGTGTCAAGTTAACATTTTTTCACAACCTGTTTTGGGTTTGGATGAAGCCCTGCAACTACTGGATTCATGGACTGATTAACACCGCTGAGAGTGGTGTTAATCCTTTCTTGTACTATGTTAAACATTTGTTTCAATGCTAAGATACAGTGAGATATAATCTGAAAGAACAAGGGACAGACCAGCAGGCAGAAACTATTGTCAAATAACCTCAGCCTTCATGGCTACCTGCTGCCACAGGGTCAGGTTGGGTTAAGTGTAACCTGTGGTATAAACAAGGGTATTTGAGACTAAGAAGGGGGGAAGAGGGCTATTTGGCTTAAGCTGAGCCAGAGCACTGAGTGCTTGTTTAATAGTTCATGGGACAACTTTTTATTGGTATCCAAGTTAGAGATGAGATGTTTGAGTTAACTGGCAAAAAATGGCATAAAAATTCCCTGAGGCGAGGCTCTCTTGCCCATGGAAATACTTCTGACTACAAAAGTACTGGAATTAAAAGCATGACGCAATATTTCAGATTCTGATAGTTTATGATCTCTCCTATTTGTAAATTATAGCCACATCCTGGTATGGTCAAATTGCCCGCTGATTACATCAGCTAGGATTATAGGGCTGAGATGAGTCACTGCAGGCATCTATGTTTCCATCCCTAATTTATGCTTTCCTGCAACAAACAACACTTCTTTTGCCCTCAAGCAAGAGTAAAATCTTGCTCAAGAGCAAGCAAGAGTAAAATCAGCTCAAATCAAAACAAGGGGCTGAGCATCCATGTGGTTATAGTTCAGTGAAGTGTCTTCAGTGTGAGCACTTGCTAGCTGCTGATGTTGTCCTGAGTGTACATAGTTAATCCACATTTCATAGAGACAAGAACAATTTCCAGTTTCCTTTGCTCTTTGGGATCACCATCCTGCTCTGAGTCTTTGCGAAGTCAATCCAAAGCATCTGGAGGCTCCCATACCTGGATTTCTCTCTTTTTTTTTTTTTTTTTAGGAAAAAAAAAACGTCAGGGAAGAATTTGAAAATTTGGTCATTCCCTCAGGATTTTTCTGAACTCTGGAAGTCCAGACAACCATTCCGTTTTTTTCTCCAGTATATATTTAGGGACTGGGATACCACTGAGAGCCTATGTTTTTAGGTCTTTGAGTACTGGTTTCTATATGCAACGATGTTCTGCCTGTTTTGTCACAGTCACCATGTGTTTGTGTGCTGAGGACAAACTCATGCATTCTCAGCTCGGAAAGCTGAATTAGAACAACAACAACAAAAAAAAACAAAAACAAACAAACAAACAAAAACAAACAAGCAAACATCAATTCAAACAAAACCCCATCACATACAGGAAACACAGACAATCCTGCCTGTGGCTTCTTGCAGGCTTTTCTTACAGGCTATGGCCTTGTGGTTCAGGGCCTTGTGTAATCTGTTGCCAAACCTCTAGCCAGAGCACAGGAGCACTGCTGCTGAAGCTGCTTAGAGGAATATAAAATTGTGCCTGCCCCACAGGCACAGAGATCAGGCAGTGCAGGGACCCCTGCACGTCTGCTTATTTTGATGATGCACAATGGCACTGCACAGAGAAACATGCATATCTGCTTGGGAACGGCTAGGTTCCAGGATAGGATTTTGTTGTCAGCATCTTCCAGCCTCTGGAATCATTACTTTGAAACCATAATAGTTACAATCATTTCAGTGTTTTTACAGGATACAGCTGATATCCGTTTTTCTTCCTGTATTAAATTAATTGGATACATGTAATGAACTCAGAGGAAAGGTATTTAATTAAAATAAACAAACATTACCTGGACATAAGCTTGTGGACAAATGCTATTGCAGAGGATTATTCTGCATCCAGATTGTTTCTGTTCCCTGAAATAAAATAATACAATACTGATGATTACTCAGCCTTGGGACTCTTGTAGGCCACTTCAGGTAAGATTTTATGATCTCTGAATGTATACTAAAATTCTTGTGAGATTGCATTGTGTCAGTTTATGCCTCACCTATTCCCCGAAACGACTGTCCCTTGCTCTCAGATCTGCTGGAAACAATTGCATGAGACCTATTTGGTGGTAGTGACTGGGAGATGGGTATCTAGCACACAACTCCATTTGAGTGATACAGATTCAGAACAAGGGCCTTGTAAAGGCTAGATATGACTCTCAGCTGAATTCCAGACTGAAGTCTGTAACATTCTTAACAATAATTTATGATATCTGATTTAAGTGCTGCCAGTGACCAAATGGTTTTCCAGATACGTACAGCTTCAGATAAAGCCAGATGATGGTGACACAGAGGAGTGGAAAAGCTGGGAGGACAAACATATCTTTGAGAGAGTGGCTGCATACTGAGAGGGGCATTGGCTCACTTCTGACATATGAGGCTTAGAGATGGTGCTTTTTTAGAAGACAGAGCAGCTACAGAAAGAAACAGCAAAACACCCAAGGCCTGCCATGGTCTCCCCTCTAAATCCCTGTAAAGAGCCAAGCCTGTTATGATGCTATATATTTTTGTGAGGATTTGTACTCCTGAACATATCTGAGCCCAGCCTGGGCAGCCAAGTATCCCTTGCTTTCACAGTAAGTTTCACAGCCTTACTTCTTCACGCTGGTATAAATGCTATAGTAAAAGCAACAGAGGAGCTGCCAGAGGCATAAGAAGATATAGAGGTATCTGTCCAACACATCTGCTATTACTGAAATGAGAAATAACAAGAATTTAAAAGATGTCATAGGTAAGGGTGGTTCTCTGCAGCATGGTGCTTACAAGAAAGCCTATTTCCTGCTGACTGTGGAAGTATTGCTTCTGCTTTCTCAAAAGCCTACCTATAGCGTTAAAATTGATGGACTCAGGCAAATAAGAGGTATCACAACTTCTTTTAACTGCCTCAGTTGAGACCATCTGACAGGTCACAAATACTTGCCAGCCAAGGAGAGGTAGGTTTCATTTTTCACATTTGGAGGTTTTCCTTCCAGGACGTTTGTTTGCAGGGGAAAAGGGAGTTTTACCATTTATTTAGTGTCATGTTATGACATAACAATCTCAATGCATATTCCTTTAACTGCACACCTACGGGTCTAGCAGGTCTGAAGAACATGTGATGGGATAACCTAAGCAGAAGCTTTGCTCAGCAAGAAGTCAAAGGCATATTAGAAGATCGTCGTAGTCTTCTGTGATGGACCTTGTTCTTGGAATTTGTTGTCAACAAAAACACAGGCAAGATATGCTCCTTATAAATTCTGTTCCTTCTCTGTAAAGCTTATTTTCAAAGCTTCTATTTAAACTTTTATATATACATCAGTAACTGTGATAATTCTGACAGAATATGTTATCTATGGGTAAAATAACTATAGCTGAGATGAACAGCAGAACAGAACAGCTACACTCCTGTGAGAGCTGGTAGGAGGAAAATATGAACCGGATCAGTGAGAATTACTGAACACAGGGTAATGGAAAAGGGCCAATATCACTATGAACACTGCGTATTTAGTCCAAATATAGTGATGGTGTTCATCCTTTGATTTGATGCTATCTATTTTAGAAACTGTTCTACTAACAATGCACTCCAAAATGGTACTAATGTCACACAAGTCTGATGTTGCTGCCATTCTGAAAGAACATTTTTGTTACAACAGTTTTATTTAATCTGAAATGAGAAAGAGTGATTTTTAACATTAGTGTCTGGTCTAGGATCAGAATAGCAGGATCATCAAGTTTATTCAGCCATTATATCATTCAATTTCAAGCTTGTCACCTTCAGAAGTTTTAAAGACCCAACAGGATAAAGCCCTTAGTAGCATTGTGATATGGTTAACTTAGTGATATGGTTTAGTGTTAGGTCAGATGTTGGACTCAATGATCTTGAGGTCTCCTCCAACCTAGACAATTATGTGATTCTGTGTGTTTGTCTGGTCATCTTATCCCATCACTGGGCCAGATTTGAGCAAGAGGTTGGACTAGAGACCTTTCTAGATCCCTTCCAACCTAAGATTCTTAATTTGTTCTTCTTGTGCTAATAGTTGAAACTTCCAGTTGGATTCAGGCCCACAAACAAAAGTAGAATTTTGGCAGTGAGTAAGTGAGTGTCCTTAGGAAGCTATGGACACTTTGGTGAAAGCACAATGTGAGCTGGCTTTTTCTATTTTTTTTTTTTTTTGCTAATATCAGGACACAGCAGTGTCTTGTCCAAATTGGAGAAGGGAGGAAAAACTGACTTGTATTAACTGGGGGTTTCAGTGGGGAGCCTGAGTGCCTAGGGAGCAAAGCTTGCACACTGAGGTGCTGATGGGTGATGCCGGGGGCTGACATGTGCCCAGTTACATCTTTTGCTCTGGGCTGTAGTGTGATGTGTGGGCTGTTGGAGCCATATTTCAAATGTGTATTATCTGTGTAGCACCAAAATATGTACTGTTGCATTTACTTTTCTAATCTTTGGGTTACTTCAGTTACCTCTGTAGATGGCTACGGGGGGAGGTGGAGAGAGATGGGGAGATCTCAGAGACTTGAGCTTCACTAACATTAAGTTAGTGAAGAAAGGGAAATGCATAAGAGAAAACAAAAATCTGTGATTTTGAGACAGCAGCAGCCAGGTGTTTGTGAGGTCATTTGGGTGCTTTAATATGGGCATTTTGGAAAGTGCAGGGTGTCTGCAATGTCTGCCTGAGGGTGGTACATGATACAAGGTCTCTGAAAGTTGTGTTTTTCTGGAGCCACATGAAACACATTGGAGTTCCTGAAAGAGCCCCAGACACTGTTGGGATCCCTTTGCCTTTTGATGTTAGCAAAAAGACTGGAGGGTGGAGGACATAACTCTGCTGCGAAACTAGCAAATCTTTGGGCTTAATAGGGAGTTACAAGGGCTATAAAATAGAGCATTGTGGCTGTAAAATGAAATGCAGAATTACAGCAAAAGAAGATAAAGAAAAGAGTCTCCTGGGAATAAGTCTGTTAAAACAGTCCAGATTTTAAGAGCTGAAAAAGAGAAGCTGATGATTTGTTTCAGAAAATAATAATAATTTAAAAAAATGAAATATGTTTATGCTTTTCAATTATGGAAAAATACTTAAAATTTTAAAAATATTTAAATAATATTTTAAAATAATATTAATATTAAAATATTAAAATTTGTGTTTGAAATAAATAAGAGTCTGATATGGTGTTTAGTATATTAGACCTTGGCTTAATGTTGTTTTGAGGAATATTCCTGCTCCTTATCTTCTGGGACATTAGGAATGCTATGTAAAGTTGTGCTACCTTGGCAACAGCTGAAGACGATGAGATAGAGCCAAAGTTTTTTGTTTCTGATATTATGTCTTTCCTCTGAAAAAAGGTATTATCTATAATATGAGTAAAATAACAGAAGAAAAAAAGAAACCTGCCTTAGTACATTTATTTTTGCTGACTTTCTGACCTCTTTAAAATCTGCATGTTCATAACACCTTCCTCATTCCTGAGAATGCTGTATTTCTGAGTTGAGTTAAATTCCATCTGTATTTTAACTTTTCATAACTATATTAAGAACAACATAAGCTAGAAATATTCAGCAAGAAATAATTCTTAAAATTATAATTTCTCTTGTAGAAATATCTTGTGCTCTTTCCCTGAAGCATGGAGGAGAGAAAACACGTTTAGTTAGAAAGGTAATGCCACAGAGCTCTGATATATCGCTCCTTTCGTAACATTTATAAATGTCATGTATTAATGTATTGTCCACTAGCAATAACATCACTGAGAGAAATTACAAATGTGAGTGGACTCAGTTACTCAGAAATCCTTTTTTTCTCTGAAAAATTCTCAGATGAGCTGTCGTGAGGCTACATGACTTATACCCAGTCAGTGATGATCACAAGGGTTAGGTGTGACTAACAAGGTGCTGTAAAGATTTAGTCATGATCTTGCTATACGTATGAGCTTACGGAGCAGTTCTTTGGAGCTGTACATTCCTCTTGTATGGAAATTTTTCATGGATATGGGATTTCAGAAAGCATCCCCCAAAAGAACTGCCATTGATGATAAAATGACCGAATCTTCCTCTGGCAGAGAAAGGCTGCATCAGAGCTTTGTTAAATTAAAAAGTAGCCTAAATCACAGGGAAGGGTATAAGCACATAAATAGTCAAAAATGCCTAATTGTCATGGCAAGGTGCAGGTTGGACAAAGGAATAAAATATGATGGTAAATCCCTCAGCACCACCACTCCTTAAGACTTCTGCTAATATTTGAAATACTACTATTGTCTTTGGCAAAAGAACTAAGTGAGGTCTGTAACTGTGGGGGCATCAAGAAGTAGTATTTGGTGCATACAGGTCCTGTACATGGTGATGTGTGCACAGCAACCAATTCCCTAGTTTAAATTTAGACTCAAATAAATGGTTTACTGTTTTGTTTTCCTGTTTCCTGGAGATTTCCTTTGTGTTAACAGCGAGCAGCTTTTTCCTTCTCTTTTGTACGTGATTGATTGGCAAACATAGTAGGAGAACTTTCTGTACTTGTTCAGCAACATTTACCATAGCACTTAGTGAGCAGAGAAAGAAGATGGATTCACAAATTGTCAAACTACTCTGAGAACAGAAACGATCACTTCTTTTCTCCCTCTCCCAGAACACATTTCAGTGTCTGCTGCAGAGAAATTCAAACATCTCTGAGGAGGTTTAAGCTGTTCTGACATACTAAGTTATTCTTTTTTCTGTCCCCAGCTTTCTCAACATGGCATACGCCTAGGTAGGAACAAAGTATATGATGTATGATGCTCTTAAATCTAAGTGTTAATCAAGCATAAGCCAATTTGATGCCCTCTTTGTAGTCATTGGGCAGATGGGAAACCTATATCCAGGTCTCTGCTCTGCCAAACTTGGAACAAGGTCTTCAACTCAGGTGATCTACATGCCTGTATCCTAAGACACCACAAGGTCATTTAATAATGTTGATTGAGACTATTCCTCTTGATGAAGGTATTTCAAGTTAATATAAGTACCTAAATAATTTTTGAAGCAGGGACATGAATCTGATTCTTCTGTTTCTAGAAAATATCAACAACTGAAAGGTTCATAATGACAACTTTGCAACTCTTTCCCTCTCTCCTTGTGACCAGTGAATTACCTCCTAGGAGTTCTCAAGTCTCTTTAATCTTTAATTCTCCGGAAGCTTAATCCTCATGGACCCCTGCACTACCAGATGTAATGCAGCTCCACTCTAGGACTGGTGTCAGGAGTAGCTTTGTGTCTCTGACAACCAAGATGCTCTCTGATTCTTTTACAGAAAGGCACATTACCTGATGCTTTCAAGTCACAGCTGAGTTTACACTTCTGTGTGCACTGTATGTGTTTGCTCAAAATATTTTGACAACTGTGAGAGAAAATATTCAAACAGAAGAAAACTGACCACAAACTCACTCTGCAAAGTTGGCAGAGTATCTTGTTCTGTTCTTTTTGGTATTTCCCATATGAGAACTGTGACTGAAAGTTGGGGGGAAAAAAAAAAAGAGAGAGAGACTATAAATTTCCTCATCTTATGAAGTGAAATACAGTTCTGCCATGTTGGAATAGATTCAAAAGAAGTTGAATCTCCTTCCCTAAGCACTGCAGGAGCTTTGGGAATTCTCTGCTGTATGAGAAAGGCTTGCTGTACCCCACACCACTGCAAAATACAAAGATGTTGGTCCACTAATGTTGTGAGACTCCTTGCAGGAGTCTGATGTCATGTGAAATGGCAGGTCTGATGGTATCACACTGTACAATGTAGCTATCAAGTGGCAGACAATACCGTGAGCCCAGTGAATAGCTGAGGTAATCCATATCCAGTGATAAAGAAAAATGCTTCTGACTTTATCAAGAATTTGTAGTTTGTACAGCAAGATTATATTTCTTTGTTAAAGTAAGCATTTCCTGCTTCAGAAAGCAACCTTTTCTGAAATCTAGATGGATCAAAACTATTGCAAGTGCCATGCTGAAAACAGCTATGCTGGGGAAGACATACATGAATTTTCAACTGGATAATGACAACTTTTGAGGGGTGGGCTGCGGGAACTGTTCCTAAGATAGGTCCTTAGAACTGGTCTTGGGATTCAACTAATTAGTTATATGGCTGGAAAATAGGAGAGCGCAGATGAAGCATACCAGTGACATAAATTGCTTGATATCTTCTCTACAGAAATCAATGGGAATATCCTGCAGAGAGCACTGGACAATACCAACAAAGCAACAGAGGTGGAATAATAAAAGGAAAAAACCTGTAAGTTCTGAAGCATTTATGTTCCCCAAGAAGATGGAGCAACTGATCCTCCTTTGTTTGCTTTGCTTTAGTGGGGGCCCAGGATTTGCTCGGCAGCGTACAAAATTCCACTTAAGGCTCCCTCACTGAGGAGTGCATGGATGTCTTCATCAGCGCTGCAGTTTGTTGCATTGCTCTCACCAGGCCTCTTCAGCTCTGCTTACCCCACTCCTATTAACTGAAACACAGCTCTTTTGCCTGTTTAGCAGCACTAAGTTCTCATGACAAAATGTGAGGGTCTAATGGCCAAATAGTTTTTACCACTGTTGCTCCCTTTTTGCACTATTTAATGGTGAGATTTGCCTTTCAGATGAACTGGATCTATGCCCTGAAAGCACTTTCCTTCTAACACCTTGAGAACGTTCTAACAGCCATTTAGGAAAAAAAAAAAAAACAGATTTGCCATCTCTGGTGCTGCCAATTGCTAACGTGTTTACAGAGTTGTCAACGGCATTTGCAATAATGCAGTGTTTCCTGCATGTTTTCACCACTGACTTTCACAACTACTTTTTAGTAAACAGCTTTTTAGAAAATCCTGTCTCCCATAACTAAGTATGTGTGGTTGACTGGTTGCAATCTCTACAATGCAATAGCCATTTCTTGGACAGATGCTGCTTTAATTAGTTCTTAACATACGGGCAATTGATTTTACTGTAGAGTTGATTCAGGCTCTGTTGCATTGTGCAGCAACCTAAAGGATGTTTTAAACTAATATTTTGTCTGCAACTACAGATAATTATCCCCACCAGGAGCTGTAAATATTGTAGTCAGTACTACGTCTTCTATTATTCAGCCACATACTGATGGCTCTGTGCAAGGAGAGGATTGCTTAGTGCAGGCAGCCCTCTGAGGGCATCTCAGTCAGAACCTGTCCTCTTTATAACAGAATGCCTTGGGTTCTCTTAATGCCTCCCATCAAAGTAATATGTAGACAGGTTCACATCGGGCTCTGACAACAGAATAGGCTAGAAAGTATGATTAAATATATAATGGTCAATTATACTTACAGCATTCATTTTAAGCAGGCAGAATATAGTGGAGATGAAATTTATCCAGGTTTTTTAAGATGTGATACACGTGCTTCTTAAGACAGTCTCAGTTTAATTCAGAACATCTGACAACATCTACAGATCTATCCCCGAACCCACATTACCAAATTATTAACTAAAGTTTCAATCTCTTGAAAAGCCTGACTTTTCTAATACTCTATCCCAGTGGACAATCTCCATCATTACTGATTGGTGTCATGGAAGGTAATACAAGCATGACATGATACTCATTGTCTAAATAGCAAGCGATCGTTACTAAAATAATTGGTGTTTTTTCCCCTTTCCCTTCCCTTCCCTTGCCTTGCCTTCCCTTGCCTTGCCTTCCCTTGCCTTCCCTTGCCTTCCCTTGCCTTGCCTTGCCTTGCCTTGCCTTGCCTTGCCTTCCTTCCTTCCCTTCCTTGCCTTCCCTTCCTTGCCTTCCCTTCCCTTCCCTTCCCTTCCCTTCCCTTCCTTCCCTTCCCTTCCCGTCCCGTCCCGTCCCTGTCCCGTCCCGTCCATTTTATACTCTCTGAAGAACTCCTAAAACCACAATATGGCAGTGCAAGCACTGGCGAATTTCCTTCTCAAGGAGAAGGAAGTCTGGAATTTCTTCAATTCAGTGATGAACTTCAGAAAGCCATTTTGCCTTGTCCTTCCTAGGTCAAACATGTCCTGCTGTGCTGTCACTTGGGCAGATGGGACAGTCATTTCATATTATTTTTATGTTTCTGCTCCTGACTTAGCCAATAAATGAAACATTTGCACTTTTAAGAGGTCAGTTTTCAGATACCAGGTTAAAAATTACCACAGTCTATATCACAGAGGAAAGCTCAAAACTAGATGTACATACCTATTTAAAATGGTAAGAGAGAGAGAGAGAGAACAATAGTGAATCTCAGACTGCATTACAATTACTTTGACATCCAGAGCTGATAAAATTGGGGTTTATACACCCAAACCAAAACAAAACAGTTTTTCAGCTGAAAACCCATGACAACAATTTTTATGTGCAAATGTACCATATTTCTATCGCCAGAATTAAGCATTCAAATAAATGTTGATAAGAATTTGGTGATAAACTAAATTGTACAAACAGTCATGCAGCTTTCAACTCTGAGTGGTCTGGAAGGCTCAAGATACTTCTCCAGCTGAGAAGTGGTGTGATTTACAGCGCCAATTTATGATATCCAGTGTTTGTATTATGATTTTGCTTTTGCCTTTTCATGCTTTGCCAGTGTTCCAAAATTAAACCATCTGTTAATTTGTTGTCTCCACTTAGCTAGCAACGGGAGATGTCAGAGACTTGCTGGAACCCGGTGCAGACAATCTGTTTTTCACTCTGTATCTATGGGTTTTGAGCACAGGTGGTTACCAGGAAGATTTGTCTATCTGCTCTTTCCAGAATACCAGTGTCAACACAAAGATATGGTGAGGATTTTGTCAGAGAGATTCTCTTATTATATGGCACAGCTCCTTCAGAGAGTTCTTGCACCCCAAGCTAGCAAACGCAGAGATACTTCTATGTTGGGGCAGTCACACGGTGTGTGAATGTCAGGACAGGAACAAGTGGAGAGAAAGTGAGAGGATGCCAGTTCTGGAAGAGAACATAACACTGCTAAAGAACACAAAGGAGAAATGCTGATAGTTTTGAGGAAGGAAGGCTGGAGGGTAGGAAGGGAGGGAAGAAAAGTGTGGTTTAATCTCCCAAAAGGGAAAGGGGTTTCAAGACATATGACTAAGGATTCCTGTCTGAGTCAGATATGCTAAAGTAATCACAGAATCACAGAATTGTCTAGGTTGGAAGAGACCTCAAGATCATTGAGTCCAACCTCCGACCTAACACAAACAAGTCCTCCACTAAACCATATCACTAAGTTCAATGAGAATTTCATATGGGAATTTCATTCAAATTGTTATAAAACCTAGATCTTTCACACAGTTTAGATCCTGCTCTTACTTCACTTCAAAATAGTCCAAAATTTGAAATTGTTTGATTCTGGTATTTAGAGTCAAATCTTTCTTCAAATTTTTAAAGCTGTTTGACCAGATATTTCATTTATCCCAAGCCAAAACTTATTAATGTATTCACTCTATCTCTCTCGCCCCCCCCCCCCCCTTTTTTTTTAAACAAGCACAAAAGTGCAATGCAAAATACAACAGTAAAGCTTTCTGTAGTAATCCACAACACAAAGTGTAGCAGAATGAAATTCCAGATGTCTTACTCTGTACTGTAATCATTATTCAAATGTCAATTTGTAGACCAACTCTGTTGTGGAAGAAAACAAATTGCTGTCTTGCGTTTCCAAAAAAAGACTGATATTTCCAAAATTCATCAGGAAACACCCCTGAAAAAATGACTCCGCTTTATTACTTCCCCTTCTTTCTGGTTCTGGGAAATGCTCCTTTTGCTGAGCCAACTAGCTGGAATTGGCTATAAGGTGCCATTTTTAATGAAAAAAGGTTTCTCAGTGGAATGATGTAAGTAGAAGCTAAGAGAACACAATGCATATATTATGCAATATATAAATATATATATGTTTTTAATGGGGATGTCATAAATCAAAATCTCCTGTGAACAATATCCCAACCATTCATGAATTGCCGCCTTCTCTGATTCATTAGGACTGTTTTGATTGACATAGTACAACTTCAAAAATAAAGTTACAGCTCACCAAGGGAAAAAGAAGAGTAGAGCCGTCTAGAAAGCTGTCAAGTTTTAAACCAGTGCCCTTGTTCTTGTAAACGGACAGTCTTCTTTCTTCATTACTTGATTCAGTTACTTGTAAATCTCAACAAAGAAGGAAAGTTTGTGAGAAGATAATTGCTTTTATTTGTCTGCCCATGAGGGATAGTCCCAGATCCTTACCACTTGGAAATTTTGGCATTAACTAGATTGATGATCCTTGGAGTTCCTAGAGAAATGATACTTGCCCAAGAAAAGGAGAAGAAATAAACCAATTTATCGGTCTTGCTTGTAATAGAAGGACACCCTTCCTATGAAGAAGGACTGGGAGAGATGAGGATATAAAGCTTGGAGAGGGAGGGCTCTGGGAAGACCTCACTGCAGCCTTTCAGTTACTTAAAGGGGGCTTATAAAAAAGATAGAGTGTCTTTTACATGGGCAGGTAGTTATAGGACAAGGGGGGATGGTTTTAAAGTAAAAGAGGGGAGATTTAGATTAGATGTTAGGAGGAAATTCTTTACTATGAAGGTGCACATCCTTGGAAGTGTTCAAGGCCAGGCTGGATGGGGCTTTGGGCAACCTGGTCTGGTGGGAGGTGTCCATGCCCATGGCAGGGGGGTTGGAACTAGATGGCCTTTAAGGTTCCTTCCAACTCAAGCCATTCTGTGGTTCTATGATGATGATTTTATGATAATAGAGTGAAGAATATAGTCTGTTTTAGGGAAAGACTGCTGGAGAACATAAGAGGTGCATGCAGACCTGAGCTAAAACCTAGTGTCAATATTTTCGATATTTCTGTCCTCCCACTTGTTTAAGGATCAGGTCCCACCTTTGAATTATGTCAGCTTCACAGCTACTTTTTGTAGAAAGGCTCAGGAGCTCTGATGAACTGCTCCCAGCTTTCTGGCCTGCTTGTTGTCTGCAAGCAGTTTACAATCACATCAGTAAGGGATTGCTGCAGGGTGTTCTGCATGTGTGTGGGCAGATGGCTCACACTGCCCTTCTGGAGGGAATGTGCTGCCCATTTCTATGCCCCGTGGCTCTTCAGAGAGGCAGAGCTTCAGACAGTCAGTGAGCTGGTAGATCACACAGCCATGACAAAAGGAAAAAGCGCTTCCAGGCTCACAGGGGTGCAACTCCCAGACAACTTGCAGGAACACTGCAGGAGGAAAACCAGCTACGGCCAGTTTTCTGCCTCCAGACAAGCACATGTAAATGCCATTAATATAAAAATTAGCTCAACCTCAAACCATAGCTTGCTCTCCTTATTACTGAGTTTATCTCAGATAATGTGAGAGGGAGAAATGGATTTCTGCATTTTGGCAGCTCCATCCTCTGAAATTAGCCAGAGCTTGAGGTCTGGCTTTGTTCCAATGCTGTCACTGCACTGACATACCTGAGTGTGCAGGGTTTAGCACTGGCAGGTCTACAAATCTGAATGATAAGATTATTATTATTATTTTATTTTATTTTATTTTATTTTATTTTATTTTATTTTATTTTATTTTATTTTATTTTATTTTCAGGGATCACAAAAGCTCAACCTTGCTGAACTGAGTTGAGGAGTTAATGTACAAGGGAGGTAAATATAGCATAGCAGCAAAAGCAAGTCAAATCTACCACTGGCAAATTTGAATAGTTCTGAAACATTTTGCAGTGTTGCTTTACCATAATGTCAGAGTGCTCCAGGCTTGCTTATCATCAGAACAAAGATAGCATGCTTTCAGCACGCAATTTAGCTCCATGTGTTTGTTTTCTGGTCTGTGTCTCATTGGTGTCTGTTCACCAATATTTGAGGCTTGCAGTGGTGTGCTGGACCATGACCAGGCTTCCTCAGCCCCATTGTGCTAGTATTACTGCTAAGTGAATGATATGTCATCATACCATCAACTGTGGTTGGCAGCCAGCGCAACTTTGTCCATGGGAAGACAGCAGCCTGCGGTCTGTGTTTAGTGTTCTTGTTGCATTGCTCATCCTGTTTCCCCACTGCGGTTGTGCCCACTCATCTCCAGGCTGTCATGCTATAGGGATGCCCTTTCCCCTCTCCATCGCTGGCTGGGACATCTCACTGTTTCCCTTATCAGAGCCTGACCTCATCAGAAGCTGGGTAAGGGGGCTGCAGTATTTGAACAGGGTTTGGTGTGAAACTGTACCCTGAGCCTGTGTCATATTTACTCTTCAGTCAGGTTAGTGTTATTGACAGGGATACATGCACAAGGGATGGACCCTCCTGCAGCTGTGCTTGGAGACGAGGTCGCCCTTGTCTGCTGTCTAGTCTCACAAGTGCCATAAGACACTTTTGCTAGTTTCAAAACTACTCATATGGCAATGTCAGCTCAGGAAATAGGTCCACTTTAAGCAAAAGTCCCTTGACCTTATGTTTAAACTTTCTCTGATCAGGAACACTGCAGCAGCACAAGGGGGAGAAGCAGGAAGTAGAAGAGTGATAACTCTGCTCATCCATATTGCTGCTAAAGTCTGAGTCCCCCTGAGAAATGGAGCCTCAGTGATGCTGGGGGCTAGCAAGGAATGGCTGAAGCAGTTACCACATTGCTTCTTTTGCACCTTAAGAGATAAAATCAGGTGTGGCTGAACAGAGCACAGTAGGGTCAGAAATTTGGAGAGGGGCATCCAGCCAAGGGGAGAAGCTGGCTGAGCTCTCCCCTACCGACAGCTGAGCGTGTTGGTCAGCAGCCGGAGACTTCAGGCAGCGTTTGGTCTTCAAGCACTGCACCTTCACCCAGAGCCATGCCAGCTGCAAGGGAAAGCTTCTGCCTCTGCTTCAAGGCACTGTGTTCGCAGTCCTGCACCGGCCAGGCAGAGATGCAGCTTTTCATCTTTGCGTGTGTAAAATCTGAAGTATGCAAGGAGGAAGAAAGACCAACATTTAGATAAGGCTGGGGAAACCCAAAAGCATGGAGAGTGAAGGGGAAGTTTTTAAAACCATAAGTGACAAGGGAACAAGCCTGGTGTATGTATAACTTAAAAAAAAAAAAAAAAAAAAAAAAAAAAAGAAGAAGAAGGTTTTAACTAAATGTCATTTTAAGAGAAAATATTTATTCTCTCTTTTTTTAAACTTCATTAGCATTGCTAATGACTTCAGGTTTACATTTGTTGCTGACTTGGCTACTGGGAAGGTGTGTTTTGAAAGCAAAGCTCTGTTTGCTAACATGTTTCCCTGGACTTGCTGTAAGACTTTTTTCCTACTGTGACTTTGAAAATGGGGGGATTTTTCTTTTCTTTTTTTTTTTTTTTTAAGAGCTTTTTATTCCCTTCTTTCTGTGAAAAGCAGGCTATCTAAAATTGAATGTTCATAAGCAGTGAATTTTAGACTCTTCATAACCAATGTACTAAAATTCTCCCAAATTCCTCATTTTCTGTCTGGGAAAAGACTTTGAATGTTGTAATACTTACTCTGGGAATATAGCTCAGATTTTTTTTTTTTTTTAAGCCATGTTCCAGTGCGGTGATGAGATCCTTAATTCAGGAAGCTCTAACTCAGGAGGAAAGGCAGTTTTTTTCTATGGGTTGGCAGTACAAAATGTTCAGGTAACTCTGAGTAACACACTTACTCCTGTTTCAGCATGTACAAGGCTCAGTGGAAAACTGAAAGAAGTGTTCTGGAGATGACTCTGCTTTGGCTATTCTGAAGTCTTTATTAACTTAGGGACATTTATCTCTTCTCTCTGTGTTTGTACTATTCATGTTGAAAACAAGACAGATATATTTAGAAGTCTATGACTGATTCTGAAGTGTGAAGGTGCTTCTCTTCATTATTTTCTTAAAGGCTGCATGTTTCCAGAAAACAGCAGACAAGATAGAACTCATATGACTGATATTACACAATATCCTGATGCTTCATTCTTACAGATTTTGCGGTAAAAATGTATTTTTTTTTTTTTTCTAGCTCTGTTCAAAATTCTCTAAGAAAATATGTGCACTGTTCAAGACAAGAATATCTTCTAATCTTAGGAGATGGCATCTGTAGGATTACACATAATGTATCAAACCCAAGGCTTCTAATGACAAACTGAACTCTCTTGGTTGCATGGCTATTTTATTATTACAGTTATTGTGCTCAAATCTCTGCTTAACATACCAAGTAATAGAAAATCAGCAGCTAAAATAATAGCATATACTTCAACCTTTAGTCTTTTTGTTATAAGATCCTAATCACAACTCCAGTTCTAAGCCTGTATTTATATTTAACAGCATATTATAAATCACGCTCTTACTGTATTTTTTCATTTGAATACAAATGTTAGAAGGAAACAAATAATGTTCAAATGTCAACTGAAACTTTTCTTCCTACATTACACAAGAAATAACTTCAAAATCTATTTTTTTCTAGTTAGTCAGTATAGATGAGACAGGTCAGAAGTGTAAGTTATACACACATCCACATTTCCTGAGTCACAAAGTTGACAATCAAAACAATAAACAGAGAAGAAAAAAAAATAAGTATCAGGGAATACAGAATTGCCTCTGCTGTTTCCTTACTACTTAGGCAATTTTTCAGCTGAAAAAAAAATTAATTGTTTGCACTTTCTGTTCTTTTATAAGGTGAAACAAATGGTGCAAATCAGATGCCTTCTGGACAGAATAAATCATGTCCCTTGGGTAGCCCATACCAGATTGCCCCTGTGGCAGGGGAAAAGCCCTGTGTCTTTGGCATCTTGGGTACACTGAAATAAAACTTTTTTTTTTTTTTTTTTTTGAAATGCTATACCTCTATGAAACCTGCCAAGTTACCAAACCACATCAGCAATAAATATTTTACTTCTCCTTGTTCCTGGAATGCTAATAACATTAGTACTGTTGTAATTGAAACAGAAACATATTAAGAATTCAAGAAGTGGTTTCAAAAAGCAGTAGTCTGTATTGAATTTAAATGACAACTTTTTGTATGAAAAAGAAGTGGAAACACATACCTTGACTGTGAATTCAGCACTGAACAGGTACAAATGAGAGAGTGCAACACTTCTCAGTGAACAGTCACGCTCCTTCTGTTGTATGAATGAGTCTAACTTCTGGTTTTCTGCCCCTCCCTGAACAGAATAGACTCATCCCCCTGTTGATGACATCATATTCCTGGATTTTCTGCCGTGCTATATTTTGTTTCAGAAGCAAAGCTTGTCTGCTCTAACCAGCATGAAACCACTTTTATTTGACTATGGGTGGTAAACAATTCAAATCAAGTTAAAATAAAGATTTGCCACAGTGTGTATAAAAAAACTATATGTGTTTGAACAAGAGTCTCCAGAAATGTGTGTGCATAAACATGTACACACACATACACAAGCCTGACCTTTATTGTGGGTGATGTCATGTGCATTGCTTTTACCAGTGTTAGACACAATCAACAGTTACACAAATTAGCTTCTTGCAGGACTTGGATCTTTAAAAAAGGAAAGAACAAATATATCATTTACAATCTTACATCCTTCCCATTCAGGGGAAGAAATTTAGTGTTTATATCTCTGGAAGACAGTGTGTTCCTCTTCCTCAGAAGAAATCTCTGGCTACTCATTGTGCTAAGAATGAAGACAAATTCCAAATACCACTTAAAAATTTATATAGGACCAAAATTTCTTCAAATTTTGGATGAAACGTCTGTAAGAAATAGAATTATACCCAAAGAGTAGACAAGAGCATTTTTCCTATGACAATGATTTTTATTCTGAATTTGAGATCATAACAGATCTAATTTTACCTTATTCATAATAGGCATAACTGTTTTTCCTCTATTCATGCAATTAAACTGAAACCTGAAATGGCAGCTGTGGTTGCAGCATCCCACACAGAGGATACATCTTCATTCTGAGAATAAATGAACAGAGAATACATCAGTCTATTCTGTTTCACACAGATTTCTAATTGTGAAAGTAATAAATTCAAGAAAACTCTTGAAGCTATACATATCATATGTGGTCTTTTGTGATCAAAGTATCTAGCAGAACAAGTATTGGGCCCCTGCTCCCCTCTCATTCTCCATTTATAATTCTCAGACAACACTCATTGCACTTTTCCCAACAGGAATAACTGTTCTGCTTTCCACTCATGTTCCTTTTATTTCTCTGAACTTTTATAATAGCTGCTAGAAAATAACAGTTTTTCTTTCTTTAATGCTGCAAGCCCAGTAAAACTTTTTGACCAACAATGCCTTCCCCTGGTCCATTCCTGCTTTCTCTGCAACAGTTCTAGTTCGATCATGTAATTTCAGGACTCATATCTCCAAGGTCTTCATCCTGAATTTTTCCTTCGATTCTTTATATTTATTAATTAACCTATTTATTTATTTATTTATTTTGTTCCTTCTGTATCCATATAAACATTTTAGAACTATAACTGGAGTTTCTTTTTTTGGTTGGGTATGGTTAGAGTTTAAACATTAACTTAACATGTATTCATAGGAGGGCTTCTGCTAGCTCATTTGTAGCAGTGTAATAAAACCCAGCTGTAGTGAGATCTGCTCTGTTAAGCCTGAGGAATGTGGACAGCCTCTTGAGGAGCAGGTGAGGGGTGTTCTGCAGTCTTCAGGAGCTAGCCTGCTATGGACACTTGCTTCTGAAAGGGGAAACATACCTCTGATCATCTCAAGAGCTTCTGAGAGACCAGCCTCTGCAAAGGAGGAATCATGACTGGTTCAGGGGAGTGGGGAGGTAATGCACATGCCCCTGACTTTGCAGTTAAATTACTTGGCCATTTGGAACACTGCAGTCAATGTTCTCCTCATATTTAAGTATCAGGAGATAGCATGTAGAAACTTCAGTATGTAAGCATAAAACTAGAATATCTTGAATACAGAAAGATGACAGAACTTTTCCCTCCCCTCCCCTCTCTGGTTTTCTAAAGAACAACTGTCTGAATGGCTGCAAGATGCCACAGCTGGGAGTCATAACTAGTAGTTGTGAAAACTTTAATCAGCTTGAACTTGGTTACATGTGGGCATTTTTTCTTAGGAAATCTTAGCCAAGATTTTGCTAGGAAGTTGAAGGAAAATATAGCTGAATATTGGACTATATTAATTCAAGAAAATAAATGGTAAGTAAATAGATGTAAGGGGAGTACTGCTTGCCTTGGTAGTTGTTCAAGATTATTGCTAGTGTTTTCTGGGGGAGGACATTTTGTCTCTTGATTTTAGCTGATTATTTGTTGCCCTTTTCCAAGTGTGTTTTGCACTTTCCTACGTTACTGCTGATACTATGGCTGTCTTTGTGTTTCTGGGTTTGGAAGAGGGCAGTAGTCCTCTGCTTTTTGATGGGGAGTTATGGTTTTGAGTGTTGGAGTTTGAGCAGGAGTTGCCTGATGAGCAGAGGACTTGTGTTCTTGACCATGCGTGTGAAAGAACAACATCTGCCTCAGTGGTTATTACAACTCTTTGTGCGTGCATGCAAAGAAGCTCTTCTTGCAGCTGTGTGTATTTGCTTCCTGTAAAAACCCACTGTCTTGCACAAGATTTAATGATTAAAATCAGTGGTTGAAGAGACTTGGATGCCTTCTCTACGTAGGATCTTCAGTTTCCCTTTCCTTGCCCTTATCTGAGTCTGATACTCAGAGATAAATTGTATCTGGATAGTTCTCTATCACCAGTGAGGTTTTTGTATCACGCTGAATCTCAGCCGCTTGGCATGTGTTCTGGTATACTCCACGCCCCCTTTTGGTCATTTGTCTTTCTGGAATAATAACAGGTTTTCGTCTCTGCATATTTTTGGCTTTTCAGAAGAAAACGTGTTTAAAAACTTATTTCTCTAATTCATGTAGAAATGATCTTTCCTTTTCACAATCAAAGAATTATTTATTGTACTTCCTTCTTTTTTGTATTATAAAGAGGGTTGACAATCAATATTTAGAAGCTTTGTGAACTGCTGAGGGTTGTAAAAAAGGGCTTAGTTTCAGAAGTCTTCTCATGAGACAGAGGTGGATTACAGATTATCAGCAGAGAATCAAGGATGATGATCGAAACATTTGTGACTTACTTACCAGAGGGGAAAAAATGTTTTGTTTCAAAACTGGATTCTCTTTGTGGTATTGTACAGGTAGGCAGTCAGAACCAGACTTCTTCAGTTCCGTGAGAGGGGCAGCATTCATCTTTAGAAGCAGTGGCATGAATCTCAACCTACCCCTTTGTGAGCATGTACAGGAAAATGCAGAGACCTGGAAGTAGTGTTGCTCTCCTAGCAGTAAAATTACTCTCAGCTGAATATCCAGTGCTTCAATCTGCATTGGATGATACCAAGTGAATGGCATTAGAATGAACAGAGAAGTTGGGGATATGGAAAAGCAGGGTCTCTTGTTAAGTCTGTGCATGCTGTAGCAGGCAGTACTATTGGGATGAGAGCTTATATCTGTAAGATACAGAAGTTTTTAACCTGTATGTATTGTAAGTACTGGATGGAGCATCACGGTAACTGAAACTCTAGGTCCTGCTTCTTCCTTGGCATTGATCATAATTTGGCTGCATCTACAAAGAGGAGATTAGTGCCTTCACAGGGAGCTGGCATCTACTGTCTTCCCTCATGACTTCCCAAGTAAGTGCTCGTTATGTAGATCCATCCCTACAGTAATGCCTGGCATCTCTCTTGTACTCAATAGTAATTTTATAGTTTTTTATCACACTTGGAAACAAATAGCATTAAGATTGCATGTCTCTACTGCTTCCCAAAGAGCTCTACCTGACCAAGCTTCTCAGGAGAGTGCCACTGCATGCTAGTGCATGGGATTAGCTGGAGATACAGTGCAGCAGGATGTTATGGTTTAGGTTATACTTTTCTACTCTTGTGTCAAGTGTTCTTCCCCCTTTCCTTTGCAGATGTTAGGCAGGGTTGATGGTAATCACTTAGCACCAGGAAAAAGATTAAAGGAAAAAAAGAATCCACAGCCTTGAAGTACTGGGTAGTGAGCCTATCCTTGCAATTACCGAAGCTTTCCTGTAAACTGTGTTACAGATGTGCCTCAAATTTAGCTCCTCCATTCAGGAAGGAAACTTGCTGTTTCTCCTCAATAAATTCTTTTTTTATTCTTATCAGAATCTTTAAGACTTATGAGTTCTTCTGTATCCTCTCCAACACTTCTGTCAAACACTGACAGAACTTATCAAAGGAGGTACTCTGCTATCTGTATCCAGTCCTGTAAAGGTATTTTGTAAGCTACATGTTGTACAAGCTAAGAAAATAGCCTTTGTCTAATATTCTTTATCATAGATTGAGCATCCCCAAATAAACTATTGAATTTCAACACAATTTCACTTTCATGTAGAGAATCAGTAGGCTTTTGATCTCCATGTACATCCTATGTATATATCCATGTATATATACACACACCGAGTTCCTTTGTACTGGTTAATCAAGTTCTGCTAACAGAGATGTAACGCAAACACAGGAACCACGGTCTGTTTGTTGCATGTATATGTAGAGCAACGATAGCTGTTTAAGGTAGCTGATGGGAATTGTTTTGATAAGCATAATTAGTGCCCCAAATATGAACATAAGGTAGCTGTGTGACCTGCTTCTGAAGCAACAAGGCACAGGAGCAATTATCACTGAATTTGATGAAAGTGGGAAGGATGAGAACAGAGTCACATCCACTATGATTCTCTGTAGTGTGACTTCACTGTAGGTGTTGATGAATGGGTGGGAGAGTTTATGTCCCATAAGCTTAAATGGCAGCATGGAATAAGTCCTGAAAAAAAAAAAATTGCCTGTGAAAATCTGCCAAAACAAAGAATGCTGTGATTCCAGTTGAGATACTGTGGCTATTGTTCTGTTCATATTATTAAAGCTAATGGATTTTCAATCAAAGGCAGCCATATACCTCAGGGATTAATATATTCTGTTTATGTCTGGGTCTTTCATCTTTTACATGAAAGCTCCACTGACTTCCAGATTTGGTGAACTACAGCCCTAGTAAGATAATGCAGATTCCCAGGACAGTCTTTATAGCCTTTCAGATCTGCATGGGCTGAGCTTAAGGGAAAAGAAGGTTTAGGTATAAATATTATAATGCAAGCTTATTTGTACTGGAAAGGCTGCTGATGCATCTTCAGTACACACAGAATGTCACCTGGC